AAAAAAAAAACAAGTTCTAATGGAAATCTTCTTAAGTATATGGAATTAATGTAATTTTATCAGGTTATAATTTGTAACGTAAACCGAGCAGCGCTCATAATTCTTAAACCAATTATATCGCCTGAAAATTATTTCAGCTTCTTCAATATTTTATGTAAGAACGCAAATGGGTCGCATACACTCAAAGGCAGTCAAATCTGAGGGTTTTGAATTCTTGTCATATAGTGAAAGCTGGCTTTTTAACTAGGCTATTCCTCAAATTCATACGAATAGTCAACCTGCTGAGCAGAGAAAAATGCTCAGAATGTTTATGTCAGCCCATTTCTTTTCAAGTTTGCCCGCTCGGCGATCTCTCCTCGCAGCATTGTCCGCCGCCTTTGGCTCCTCTTGTCTGCAGTGCTCTCTAGCTAGAAAAGTACGCAATCGTTTTCGGACTAGCTGGAAACGCCCCACTGCAACCCGTTCCTGTCAGACCGAAAAGAGTCTGGTCCTTGTTTTGGGATACTTCGCGGTAGTTGGAACTGATAGCTATGTTCAAATACTGAATTGTTGAAAAGGTGAAAAACTCAGAGTTGAAAATTCATGCAGACTTGCTGAGGTCGTTCATACTTGCGTTTATGATTCATATTTGTTCTTTATTAATCAGTTTCAGGTGGCCGGTATGCTAGTTGCGCCTTTCTTAGTGTCTGCCCTTTCTACTGACTCCTCGGACAAAGGGAAAAAAGTCTTAGAGATCGGGTTGGGCGGAGGAAGCTTTGATATGTATCTACATGAACTCAAACCAAAGGTAATAGTGTTCGTTTGGTTAATAACTCATAAGTTTTTTACTTGATTTTAAGTTAGGAATAAGACTCCGTTCATCTTTTTCTCATGAAGTTCAATAAGAGAGTGGAGCTTTTGACAAGTCCTCTCACCTACTCGCAATTATGACGATTGCAGATGATAAAAAGATCTATTAGACCGAAAAACTAAAAAGATGAGGAGTCTGTCTGTAGCAGAAAGTTTGCTATCGTGAATCGAGGCATAGAAGACCATAACGAGGCTGTCTCAATTAAACTGTCTCGTTCTCTACTATATCTTAAGGGGACCATTCATCCTAATCGACCTCTTGACTCAGAAATGAACTTTGAGGGGTTTTCGTTATTTTACCAAACAGAGGCGCAAGGCAGTGATCAGGCTATAGTTTCCAGCTCATTGTAAGAAGATAACAAGAGAAGCTAATCTTTCAACATTTTAAAATCTAAAAGTCTTAATAAGGTGCAGCGCATCCTCTGTTTCATCCTATTGCATGTCCAAGTGAGCGCTTCTTAAACGATTCGGTCATAATCGTTACAAATTGGAACTCCTTCAGGTCCAATTTTCTTCATCTAACATCTTCTATTTCTGTCTCATCATGATTTTAGAACTCGAGTTTATTTTCCCTTGTTGTAAGTTGCACGTTGAATGAAAGATCGGAGTCATACAAAGTACAGCGCTTAATAGCTGGCAGCAATCGCGCGCGCATATGCCGTGTCAATTACCTGCATGCGAGCCCGCTCTTGCGTAGTATAAATGCACGCGGCAGCTGCAGTTACTCTGCAACACCTTCGTCCACAACAACTTTTTTCTCGAATGGAATATCATTGTGATTCTATTGTCAAACTTATATGTATAGAAACAAACATATTTCTAGTGTTAAATCTAAATCAGTGGTTTTACAGTTCTCAAAGTATTTCTCTAGTATTCGTTATGTCTGTCAACTCTCTTAGAAAGTCGCATTGGAAGTGGAAGAAATATATTGGTTCTTTTTTGAAATTACTCTAGTTTTGGAAGGCTTGTTCGGTTTATATAAGCAGCAAATAGCAATTTGCCAACAATAATCCATGTTCAGTCTTTATTGTTCATCAGACCGAAGCTAATGTTTACGGGGTTGCGACGATTTGTCTAAATTCTTCAACATCAGGATCAGATTTGTCTCTGAAGCTTTCTTTCAACGACCAGGTCCTTTTACTTCTTGAATAGCAATGGTTGAATATATTATAAGGTTAACCTAAGACATCAGGGAAGAATCTAATAATTTTGTTCGCACTTCAGAGATCGCCCTGAAGGATGAATGAACCAAAGATTTACCTCTGGATGGCAACCCAAATTTTTGGGCCGACATTTAAAACAGACAAATTTCAAAATGATTTCCTGAATATGTGTAATTATCTGTCATCGTTGGCAATGTAATTTATGACCTAGTTTAAATGTTCTGTGATTACCAGTACCTGTTTCTCGAAAATGACGTGGAAATTATTGAGCATCGGTTGAAGATTTTGGCTTGATCAACAATCAAATCTAAACCAACAGACGAACATTTCAAAAGAAATTCATCACTGATTATCTGTTTCTTCTCTATCTTGTCTTTTTCGAACAACGCAGAAACAGAAGCAGTGCAATGCAAAGTCGTATCTTTTCAAAATCGTTTATCTTCTGAACCTAAACCTCCGATTTCATATTGGCCGCGAGATAACTCGGATTAAGCGGAGCGTCTCCGTGCTCTTTCATGACACGCACGCAGCATGTTGCGGGACGTATGCGCTTTGAAAGCAAGGCTGTTTGAGGCTGCTCAGGGTGGCAGCAGCGGCTGGTGCGAGCTGACGTTACTCTTGACCGCCACCCCGCTTACACGGCCATGTTGACAGCCGGAAACCGAAAAGGAATCCTCCCCGCTTCCTGGTCATCAACTTTTTCGATATTTGCTTCCTTCTCCGTAGATTGTTGCTGCCGCTTACTGCTGCATGCGACCAAAAAAAGTTCAATACCATATCTTTTTTTGAAGTGAAAGCTGCTGAAAAGTATTACTATTATTACTTCTGATAAGACCCCCTTTATGCTTGTATCTTGCTCACTGTTAGTCTACTTATAGTAAAACTTTTGTACTTCACAGTAAAGTGAAAACAACTCGTGAGGATGTGGGAGTGTATTGAGTCGAACTTAGTAATCATTGTTACTTCCCAACTCTTCATAGTCCTTATTCTCTATTTTCTTGCAGCTCAACATCACTGTTGTGGAGATGGACTCAACTATTACAGAAATTGCGAAAAAATGGTTTGACGTGGTAGAAGAAGAGAATCATCGCTTGATTGTTGAGGATGGTCTTGCATTTTTGGTAGAGGCTGGCAAACGAGGTTCCATTGTCTGTCTTGGTTTTAGTAATTATCAACTGTAACCGTGGAACCATGATCTTGATTGTCAGGTGAGAAATTTGACGTCATAGCTCTGGATGCATGCGACGAAGCTATCAAATCTCCATGTCCTTCCAAGGTTTTTCGAAATGTGGAAGTAATCGAGAAGTTCAAGCTTGCCCTCACCTCTACAGGTTTGTTGAGGCTTTCTTGTCTGTAGTGTTGAGGACTATGAGATTAGCCTTACTTCACATCATTTTGGGCGCTGTCGTCTTGTGTCTCTAGATTACGCTCATGCGAATTCAGCAATTGTCCTTCTACTTTCTCATTTTAGTTTAGGGAACACTTA